CCCCAAAACCCCCAAAACCCCAAAACCCCTCTGAGCCGAATAAAGCTCTAATCTAAGTTTTAAAAATAGGAAATAAAAATCTATAAAAATGATTAGATAGCAATCGCAGACTTACAGATCAGGTGATTAAACTATGAAATTAATCACTGATAACTCTATCTCAGATTGGAATAACGATTTAAGCAACTATAGGAAGCATGACTTTGATCCATATCAAATATAAAGACCTAAAATTATCAAGAGGGCAGAGATTTATCATAAAGAATTCTCCTATGATCCTTTGCTTCAGGAGTACAGAGATCCATAAAAAGAAAAGATTGCAAAGCAAACTGATATTGACACAATTAAGACTAAAATTGCTTAGAATATGGTATTTTTTACTGTTATTCAAATAAAATTCTAGGACTATTAATTGAAGGGAGAATAAATTTACAATATTTTGAATATGGAAAACAAACTAAAAGGTCTTGAGAATAACATAAATTATCCAAAAGAAAATGCTTGGAAACCAAGAATTATAAAGAATACAAGACAAGATCACAACATTATAAGCAATCTTAGTTTCGAGGAGCATCATTTTGAATCACCAGAGAAAAGACCTAAACCAGAGGGACTGGTAAGTATAACTAATTCGCTAATTTCTAAAGGCTAATTCAAAGTTTAAAGGCAAGAAAATTGTGAGGAAATTGATTGAGAAAGATTACAATATCATCTCTAATAAATTTGACTTGTATAATGAGGAACGAAGTAAATGGGAAAAACAGGAATAGCTCACTAAGGCAGCTGAAAAATATTGGAAAAAGTCTAAGTTTGATCCAATCAATCAAACTTATTTAGATCCTTAGATCGAATAGAAGAATAAGGAATTGGAGGGAGACTAGATTGCTACTCATGCCAATAAATACTACAAAAGAATCCCAGTTGCTCTTTAAAAGTAAGATTATAGCTTTGATATTAATTAGGGAGGGCTCCTTATTCAATCCATTGACAAATGAAATTAAGGATAAAGAAAAAATAGTTGATCATGATTCTAAAGCTATCAATAGAATTAAAAGATTTGAAGTCACAACTATCTTTGAAAAATTTAACAGAGAAAGGCTGGAGTTTACTTAAAACCTTCATAAAGAAAAAATACAAAACAAAATATCGTTTGATAGATTCAAACTAACTAATGATAGAGGATTTGATATACTTACTCATTAGGACTTAAGCTAGAGTCCGAACAGAGAATCAAAAGAGCTATATTTCTAGCAAGTAAAAAAACCTTCTCCCTGGAATTAAATTCTGAATAGCTCTTAATTGATTGATAAATCTTCTTACGGATTTGAAAATTCTACATCTTATTCAAGGCCAGTAGACCATCTTCAAAACTCAACATTTATGAATGCAGCCAAGTCATCAGTGTCATCTAATTACAATAAAACCTTCGATAAAATAGACATATAAAAAATCAATCATATACAATCTACACAGGACTTACCAAATATAAACTAAGTCCTCTCTATGAATAGGAAAGAGGAGTCATCTCAAATATAGATTGGCGGCTATAAAATTCTTGATAGACAATAAAGATTAAACAGTGGCAAGAGATTTAATAGTACAATTAATGGTAGAGCTAACAGAAAAATAAGAACTGGAGCATTTAATTTATGAAGAGTGTTATAATAAGTAAAGATTAAATAGAAGTGATAATTTGTTAATTTATTAAGAATATGAGTAAATTTTATATTGTATTAAGTAAATAATTAATTAAAAATGAACTAAAGCAGTCGAAGATGTAAATTTAAATCATATTATTTTCAGCATTTAGATAGCTTGACGAATTATCAACAGCAGGCTCTTAAAGAGGAGGCATTTGAGGAGGGTAGCCTGATGGGTTTCAGCAATTTAAAAAAGAATTTACAGATGCTCCACTGTTACCTCCAATTCCAAGAAGTAGAGGTTCTTTTTAGCAATAAAATGATGACAATTACAGATATTAGATTCAATCAAGTCATTCTCAAACCTCAATACCTCGAGGTGGAAATTATAACACAACTAATGATTAGAAATTATCTTAGAATATCGAACTCTAATAGAAGATCCGTGATCTCGAACTTTAAATAATTGATATAAAAGCTCAAACTGAGAGGAAAATTGCATCAATAATGGAAGAGTTACCAAATAAGATCGATAAAGATATGAAACGTTTTGAGCAAAAAGAGGTGGAATCTCAAAGAAACAATGTGTAGTAGCTCACTCTAAACTAAGAGCAGTTAAATGTGATTAAGGATTAGCTATTACTGTAGATAGAGCAGATGACTCACAGATATAGCGATATTAAAATCAAATTAGATGAGTAAGACTTTAAGGTTGGAAATTTAGTGAGAAATTTCGATGCTATTAGGAATTAGATTAGCGTTATGAGTAGTGTAAATGGCTCAAGCAATTCTTACGATAGAGCTGGGGCAATGATTAATAATGTTGAGATTGAAACTGAAGTTAAGTTGCTAAGAGGTTAATTGTTGGATGAAAGAACTAAAAGAGAAATGCTCTTTTTTGAGTAGCATTAACTTGTCACTCAGCTATAAAATTAATTTCATCAATAGGAATAGGAATTATTGAAAAGGTTGAAAGAATATAGAGAAGATCAGTTAATGCTGCTCTCTGGTAACTAAGATGAAAAGCTATTACTAGAAAGAATGAAGCAGGAGAAGACTGATAATGATCTTGGATTCATAAAGGGGATGATAGTTACTCTAGATAAGAAAATAGATGATGAAAGCTCATTCAGGATTAGAAGTGAAGATGATATAAGAAAATGGTTTGAAGGGAAGATAAGCATGACAGTAGACAGACTGAATTTCGAAGAAAAAGGTTCTCTAGATAGAGAAAGAAGAATGATGCAACAACTATAAGAGGGATTAACATCAATAGCTGAAATAGTAAGAGGAGTCAAAGAATAAACTGCAATTGGATTGAATGAAGTGCACACTCTTGCACTAGAAAATATCACAGAACTGTCTAAGAAAATAGATGTAATAAAGGAGACAATTTACCAAAGGCAATCTTTAAATGAGGCAGGATTGCTTGATGTTAAAAACAGAATGGACACTATGGAGTAATAAACTTTCAAGCATGCGAAGGTGGTTAACGATTAATTGCAGAAAGAAATGACTAGAATGGAAAAGATAGCATCAACCCTTGAGAAGCACACAGTGAGTCAGATTTAAGAGCTTAAGCTGTTGGTATCATCAAATGATGAGAAGATGGAAAAATGGAAAGTCAATTTTGAAGACGCTGAAGGGAAGAAACTGTTAGAAGTGCATTCTGCGATGAAAATTCTTAATGGAAACTTTATGAAAGTTAATAAAGATAATAAGGACAGATTCGAGATACTTCAAAAAGAGTTTTAGGGACTAGATAATGCATTGAGAAATCAAATAGGAGATGTAAGGCACAAATCTGAAGTCGATCTAAGATCAACAGAGGAGAGGACAATAATGCTAATAGATAAATACTTTTAAAAATTGCAACATGGAACTGGAGATGAGAAATCAACTACAATCATTTAAAACATTGCTGGTGGTGTTTCTTTAGGAGATATTGATCAGAGACTTAATTCTGTGAAAGAGGAAATGAAATCATATGCAGAGAGAGTGGTGTATTAGAATGCTGAAAAACTTATCGAATCAAAGGCTTAATCAGAAATGCTGCTTGAGGGGAGATGCTAAGGTTTCGCAGTTGAGCTTGAAAAGAGATACAAAGAATTGATAAAGTAATATAAGGATGAATAAGATTCTTTTGAGACTGATAGAAAGATTAGAGTTAAAACTATTGAAGGATAGCTGTAAGAATAACTAGCCAAGTTGAAATCAGAGGCAGTGCTTAAAAATGATATCGCTGCTTAGAAGGAAAATGAATTGAGAAGATGGATTGAGTAACAATTAAAGGATACAATAGCTGATTTAGGCAAAATAGTCGATAAAAAATTGGCTGAAAATGAAGTGCTAGTTAGAAAAATTCTGCTGAAAGGAGGGCATAATGGGAGCGGCATTAAAGACAATGAAATGAGAGCAATGAAGGAAAAGAATTTACTTGAGTATGTTGATACTATGATTACTAATTTGAAATTCGAACTGTAGTCAGAATATGAAGAAGAAAAAGCTAGAAAGAATGGTAGACTAGATGAGGTTACAAGGCTCATTCAAACTCATAAATCATTATTAGATGAACATATTCAATAGCAGGGTGAAAGTTTAAAAGCCCTCCTAAAGGCCAATTTGAATGAGGAATCAGTTCACAGACATAGAGAGGACGAGAAAATCTTGGCATTAATAGCAAAGAATAATGAAATACTATAGAAATACCTAGAAGCTAAATTTTCTGAAGAAGCAGAGAAAATGATAGTTCGAATCGACACTAATAGAATGGAATTCATTAATGTAAGGGACAAACACGATAATCATTTGAATCTCTTAGATGAGAAACTAGCTTAAAATAAAGAAAAGATAGATGAACTAGATAAAAGAGTCTCCGATAAGCTTGAGGGCTTTGATTAGCTTAGTAAGGAGGAATAGGAGCAAAAGAAGAGAGATGCTGAGGTAAAGAAACTTATGCAGGATATGATGAATAAGATCTGTGCTAGTGAGGAAATGGATGAATAGCAAAAACTTCAATAAAGACTAGACCAGATTGAAGTTAATGCTCTAATGAATGATTTGATTAACAAGGCAACTCAGAATGTAATGGATAAGAAGTTTGAGGATGAGATATTGAACTTCACAATGCTTATTGATTAGTTTGTATCTTCAGCTAACCAGAACTCTGCAGTTCTCTATTAAGATTTTAACAAAAGCATCAAAGAGGCATTTGGCTAGACAATGCAGCAAATATAGGATACTATTGGTAATATGTCAGAAGAATTATCTGCTGCCAAATAGTAGCTAACTGTTGTTACTAATAAATTGGATGATGTTGATATAAACAGCAGAAAACAATTAAGTGAGTTGAATGATAAAATGGAAGTAGAAAGAATTGTGTCTGATTTAGTTGGCTGGGTAGCAGAATAGTAATATCATTTGTGATGAATATTTGATGAATTCATATATAATCTAAGATAATCTATCAGTAAAATCATAATTTCTTAAAAATCATATTCCACAATCTTTGCTGTCTTGGGTGAAAGGGGTTTTGGGGTTTTGGGGTTTTGGGGTTTTGGGG